AACAACATCATCGTCACCACTTTCAACAAATTGAAGTAGTTAGATACAGTAACAGTCATTCTAACCTGATTGGGAAGTTGGAACAAATTTAACAAGCATCCCCACTGACTGCACTTGTTTCAGGGTGTAGTAAAAAATCATGCTGTAGTTCGTTGTCCTTGGAATATCGATCAGCATGTGAATGCGCGACTAAGAAAGGAGAAAATGATAATAAGCTAGCGTCACAGGCAAAAGTCATTAAGGTTATCAAGCTGCGGTTTTTCAAATCGAGATTTCTTCGSCCATTTTTATGTTTTACGTTTCTGCAACCCTGAAGGGTCCAAACGGGACTACGTGTTTATCTGGATATTACATAACCATTGAATGTAGAACAGAAAATCGGAAATATGAGGTTACGGGAAAACTGCAGTTTATGCTTGCTTTGATGGAAGCACGCTTACCCAATTAGCCACACTAGCTATTCTCCCCTCCCCCCTCCCTGAGCCACTAGGGAAGTTAAGACMAGCGTTACCTGGTAAGAGTTAAGTTCAGTGTATCCTTTCCAGGAATAACCAGGAAATGCCAGGGGGTCGTTCCTGACCACCACAGGTCTTTCTCYCATGTTCTTTGCGTCTTCGAGCTCAAACTTGATGTGGTGAAGATCGGGATAGAAGACGCTGTCTGAAGCAATTCTGTGGATATGGAAAGAAATCTTTATCAAAAGRTATTGGCTAACTTTGTATTTGAGTAGGGTTTGTTAATGACCCTTACTCACGCGGCAGCTATGTTTATTCTCGTTAGAATAATAACCTTTGTGTAAACCCGCATACATTTATTCTCAAGCACTTGAATGCGACGCTAAGCRTGGAGGAATCTATTGTTCAGACCAACATGGCTGCTACGTGAACAAGTGGAACATGCTGTACGATCTTCTCTGTTGTTAAGGGAACGTTTATTTTTGAAATGAAATGGAGCGAGGGGAGGGGGGATGTGATGAAGGGGAATTCTAGGCCTCAATGGAATTATATAAACTTTAAATTGGCCTCATTGTCGTTTGGGATGCGGTTGAGTGCGTGCRAGAAGGGGCGTGGGGTGGCGTGGGGGATGGGGAAGAAATGAAATAGACCCTTTGCYAAAATGGCGGCCGAAAATTGAAATGAGTTAAATTAAAAACCCAATACCAGCACTCGAAAGAGCATCTTTACTTTAGTATCCCTACAAAGATTCATTATGACAGGTGTCATATCGGCCGAGAAAACKTTAGTTTAAAATTGACAAATCTACAGGCGTTTGTATGTCTGGGGTTATTGGTTTTTCCCCCAGTTTAAAGTCATTCGAATTTGCGGCCGCCATTTTGGCAAAGGGTCTATTTACCAAATCACAGGGCAGATTCATGTCTATGTTTTTATACTTACAATGGTTCTATTTTACCTTTCACTACCTCCCCCACGTAAAACTATTTTTTAATGGAATTAGGTGACAAGCTGTAATAATGTTTTCACTTTCAATAAATAAAGTGTTATAAAGATATTTACCTATCACAGAGCTTTCCTCCGATACCGTTTAGACATATACACTGTCCCGTGTAGGCATCACAGTGCGATCCAAACGAAGCCCCTGGATTACAAGCACACCCTAAAAAAACAAAACAATAAACGCCACTTAATACTATCCTCTTTTCTAAAAACACGCATCAGTCTTTGCTCTATTGTCTGGTTACAGTCTCACAAATCATAGGTGAATAGCCCATGTAAATTTTGATCTCAATCAAAAGTCCCTAAACATAAGGACACTAAGGACAATCGGGAATCTTCGGCTTTCCTCCTGGACTCATTACCCGACAAAATGTTAGTGGTGTTCCGCTCTACGACTTTTTTTCCGGTTATCCTCCCTCCGTAAATAAAATTCAACATGTGAGTTGACTAAATATCTAGTTAGGAACTTCTGGAGTTGTAGGTTGTAAAAATGGTAGTGCTTGTGGAGCAAATCTCACGAAAGAGCCCTTTACCGGGGTTGATGAGTGACTGTAAAATATACGTTATTTATCACAATACTAGTACTGGACAAAACATGGCAGTTTTTACATACTTTTACATCCAAAGGGATCCCAATACTGGAAGTCGTAGTAACCACTCTTGCAGTGCGAACAGCTAAGCCCAGTCACGTGAGCCTTACACGTACAGTCACCATTCACCTTGTTACAGGTTCTAATGCCACCAAKKGTTCCATTAGTRTTGCAACCACAAGATWCACAGCCCAACGGGTTGAATAGACKCAAGCCATAAAACAAATCTTTGCATTCCTCGCACTGTACTCCTTGCACGTTGGCTTTGCACATGCATGTTTGCTGTGGTAAGGACGGACAGACAGACAGAAAGTAAAAAATCGTTAATTGGGATCCCTGCGTCTTTTGGGTATTTGGCAAACTTTACAGGTTGGGAATACCTCTTGTATATGAAAGTTAGCTGAGTTAAAGACGTGGTACATTCAATACAGGCTGATCAAAATTCAAAGAAGTTTATAGTTTCATATCATCAGAATGAGAATGGGACTTCTTAGAATTGCTATCTGCAAGTCGACCTATGATTGTTATGACAAGCGAAACAAGAAATTGAGGAGCGCCAGGGGAGTTTTTATTTCAAGGTCCAGTTATCCAGTTTTCCCGGGAGCAGCCAGGGGGATTGACGGAAAAACTTTGCCACAAGAGTTTGTTATCTGTACAGATCTTCAGCTTTTTTGTACTTCCACATTCTCACACTGTATAAAGATTTCCCAGGGGCGTAGCGAGGTCTCGATTATAGTGGGCGCAATTTGCCATTTTCCCGCCAAATCCACAGGAATCCCGTATTACATTTTGGTGCKTCCCCCCTCCCTACGCTAGTGAGATTTACCCAAAATTAGAAGAAACGACAAGATTCTTACACTGTTGATGTTCCCGCAAGTGTTTTCTTGTCCTGGCAGGATRAGCATTCCCGCGGGATTACAGTTACACGGCTTACACTTCGGGAAGTCAAAATAACCAACTCTGCACTTGTCGCATTTGATTCCGTCAAAATTTCGTCGACACTGGCACTGACCAYCGCTTCCGCTACAGAACCTACTCAGAGAACCATGTTTATTGCAGTTACATTCTGTGTAGAGGGAAAAAATAGAACAAGTCATGTGAGAAATAAAAAACTTCTGGATTTCAGTGGCGTGCATGTGACGTCATAGTCGCCATGTTGGTTGACCGACAAAAGATTTAGTTCTCCACAAAATCTATTCACCTTTGCATTGTGGGTAGCCGTAGTAACTAAACGATTCACAGCGGTCACACTTGTCTCCACCATAACCCGGTAGACATTCACATTTCCCCTTCACATCGCATATCCGTGAAGCTGAGCCAACAGCACTACAGAAGCAACCTGTATTCAACGACACAAACACAGATTATGARTAGTTTTAATATTGTTAYAATACTCATTGACGTGCTTGAATCGCTATAGGCCGATKAMGACGTCCTTAGGGTCGTCACGCAAAAGGGAAGAGTTGCGTGACAACCCTAAGGACGTCCACGTAGAAGTGAAGAAGCGCCATTATGCTAAGAAATGCGTGTATATCATTATGGAAGTGCTATCTTT